TCCCTGGCATAGTGTCCTGTCTGGCCACACTTGTGGCACTTAAACTCGGGTACTCTCTAAAGATGTGACCGGGCTGGATGCACAGGCCGGCAGACAGGAACCTGGCGAGTTAGGGATGGGTATCGTTAGGTATTTTATCGATACCGGTACCGGTACGGGTACTGCTTATCAGCATCGGTTATTTTTCGATACTGTTATCGATTACTTTTCAATTAATTTGGTGCTCAAAATTATAGACATGAATACAAAATGTGAAGATTAAACAGTAATTGTATTGTAATTTTCTTGCAGAAATAACTGTATAACTTATACATTAGCTTCTCAGAAGCAGACCCAAATAAATAAAATAACTTAAAGGGGCCTGGCTCGCCCTATCATGCTTTTTGGGGTTTTCCCCCAGACAGAGGATGAAAAGAAGCATTTTTTAACATTTGTAAATCAGTTACATCTTCATCCAGACATTTCAAACGAACAACCTAGCTCGACAAGAGATCCTTAAAACATTGTCCTACAGTGACATCATGCAAAACTGTGATATGAAGAAATTGGTCAAAAGGCTAAGATGGCAAAAAGATAAAGGCGAGTACGTATATTATTCTGGATTATACTTTTAAATCATCACAAAATAAATAATGTGCTCAACTGAAACACGTCAAAATGTGTCTGAAGGTTTAAACATCGAACAACGTATTTGAGCTTAAAATATGTCAATTCCTAGTAAACGACCAACAATTGCTGAGCCATACATTGAAACGTTGACCTTTAACAACATTTAAATGCAGTTTTCCAATTCACAATGACATCTGTAAGTTTAACTGGTTTATAAAGCATTCAATGAAAGGCCAAATTATTATAGGTGTAGGAGCTCATATTAATACACTGTCAGTGTTAATAAACTAAAAAAAGACAAGGCGATGTGCCTGTAAGACTGCACTCAGGTAAACAAAACATATTACCTGTGCGCAGCAGCAGCTAACCTGCCTGCGAGCCTTCGCTCAGGTCACATTTACACACGGCGCGGCTGAAGCCCGCTAGCACTAGCAGTATCGCTAGCACCGTTTTAGATCCAAGGAGTGTCTCCTTTGCAAATGCTTCATTAAGTTGCTTGTGTTACCCCCTTTACACGCAACTAATTGAGTACATAGATTGCACCTTGCCCTATCGCCACTACATTTTTTAAAAGTGCACCCAGACCTTCGATCGCTTCGCTCTGTCCGCCATGCCTGCGGGAGTCTCACAACAATAATAAGAGCGCTGTTGAGAGAGATGAGGAGTGGCATTTACAGTGGCCAATCAGAGTGGTCTCAAACCGGATACATCACACGGGATGAGGGTTCCCAACCAACCAGAATGGTTTAAAGTTAAACTAAGGAAGTAGACGTAACAGATATACCGATAGCAGCACAGTTTGTCCAGCGGCTTAACGGTATACCGATACCGTCCGATCAGGTACCGGTATTGACTTAGTACCGATTCTCGGTACCCATCCCTAT